GTGCATCTGTCTGTTCGTCAGCTTACACACAACCTGAATCACACAGCAGAAAGATGCTGTCAGCCAGAGAATATACCACACAGGGGATGCTTGCGTGTCTGTAATTAGTCTAGGGCATCACTGAGATGCAGGCTAGTTGGACTACAAAAGTCAGTTCCAACATAGTGTATAAAGTACTATACAACCTACAGCCTTCTTCATTTCCCATGCACAGATGAGGTCTGAATGTAACAATTCAAGTAGCATATCCTCAGCTCTGCAACTGTACACTCATTCGTCAAACTATAAGATAACAGAAATTAAGGAATTATGATGCTCTGACAATGTGTGGTGTCCGACTGTTCTTCAAATAATATTTGTCCTTGTGTTTTAGGTCAGTGGTTCCCAATCCTATCCTGTGGGACCAGTGTGTCTTCTCAGGCCTGAAAGCAAACACTAGTAAGCCAACACTCTAAACATGCAAGCAATTAAAGGCACCAACTAGTACCAGTGATTCAGACCTCAAATGGAACAAAAGCCAGCAGACAGCAGTCTTTCAGGACCAGGGCTGGGAATCACTGTTGTATATAACTATAGGTTTATATAAATGACACCTGCATGAGACGTTACAGCTCAATCAACACTTTCACCCACACCAAGTCTGGATTAGTGATAGGCACAACAACATCCTCCACAATACTATGCAGTTGTCATCATTCAAGCCGGTTGTCCACAGTCGCTGTCCAAGCCTGATGTCACTGCTGCCCAGGGATTGCTTTGCAATTCTGGTCTAAATTATGAGTAGAAGTGCAAAGGGTTGTGTTAGTACAGTAAGGAACATTATCTGAAACATTTTATGAGGATTATGAGTAAAGTGGCTTGAGGCAGAATACAAAGTCGTAAACAAAAATACTTACGTTTTTTTTGTCGGCCTTCCTCTACAAGCATTTTTATGCATCAACTGACACACAACGTTTTTGTTTTGTGATAAATTGTTTGCCCAAGGCTCGTTTTACAGCCTTGTAAACTTTATTTTTGCACCACTAAAATTAAAGAGAGGCACTACTAATCACACTACCCTAGAATATCAATGAAGACTGAAAGCCATTCTATGAGCCACTAGAATATGGAAATTACTCTCCAATGTAAAGGAAAAAGGCTTTTCTGCATTCAGAGGACTGTCATCACAAAACGGGAAATGGATCAGTAACTCTGACTCAGCCAGCACCGTGTAGATGTAAAACAGTCAGCATAAAATGTACACTTTGTGTCTCATGTTGAATAAATTAGACTTTTGTAAGGATATTTTGTGACACTATCTTGTAAGCTCACTTTTATTTTACCATGTGGGATACAGAATTATTTTGAAATTAGTGAGCAAAAGAAGGTGCAGGTGCACACGTACTTATGTTATTCTGTATTTATAAATCACATCACAAAACAGTGCAGTATAATTAAAAATAATAATCTAGAATACTACATTGCAAGGTAAAATAAATGAAAAGAAAAAATATGCAGGGTTAGCTACATTCTATGTACCTGTGGTGTGAGTATTGTACTCATCAATCCAAAGAAATGATTTATCAATATTCGAGAACCTTTTATTTATTTTTATTTACATTACACTTCCCAAAAACAGGATTTAGAAAACGATGATAATTACTTTAGGCCATATGAAAAGCTACTTGCATTATGAATTGCTTACAAAAATGACTAATTAATGCTTACATTAATCTTTGACTTTTGAAGACTTTGTGAGCTCCTAACCACCCTGTTCTTCGATTCAATAAGTGGTTAATACAATTGGCAATCTGGCACAAACACGTACCTAGCACTCCCAGTGAACTATCAACATGAGAACATTATCACCTTGTTTAACCTGAAAAGGGTTGTACCAGCCACACTGAACTCAGGTGCAGTGAGAGAGAGAGAGCTCTGTGGAGAGTATGTGGCACACTGTACTGGATTAAAATAGGCAACCATGCATGGGAAAGAAACTGAGCTTATGACTGCAACTTGTCCTGAATGACTCACTGCAGTACTAACATATTCGGTGGAAAATGTCAATGAAAAATGTTAGATTAATAAAGCAGCATCTAACCCCACAGGACTGCATTGAAACCTATGATACCAGAAGAAATTAAAGGTGGACCATATTTTAGAAGAATCTGGGAAATAATAAAGGGAGAATGATTTTTCCTCATTAACAAACCTTCAGCAAAATAAAAGCAAAACTAACAATTTACTGTTATGAGTCATGCCAAATAATAACACTTTGTTGTATACTGACTTGAAGTGCATGTCCACATATATTAAACTACTGTATACACTACACAGGCTGAGAAAGCTAAACCTTTTTAGTCTTGAACAGAAAACAGCAGCGGCCTGACCCACGTATTCAAAGTCTTCAAAAGAACTGACAAAATCAAGCTAGTGGAATTTTTCAGAATAAACAGTGAACGACGCATCACATCAGAGGGTACAAACGGAAACTATGTAAAGTGCATTTAAAACCAATAACAGGAAGCAGTTCTTTACACAAATGGTTGCCAGGGAATGGAACAACACACCCGGACATGTTGCTGTTGAAGCCAATACTGAGACTTCTTTCACAAAACGGCTAGACAAGAATCTCAGATCAATTAGCCACTAACTACCAACGTCTAATCTATAACCTGTCTTGTGTCCTTGGGTTCACATAACTGTTCGAAACTGAGGTATCATGTGAGCACATTAATAGTCATCAGGAAACAGGGGGGAGGCTGACCAGTCCATTGGAGATCACCCCTTACAATACAAGTATCCAGCAACCGGTATAGCAGCTTAAAGATTTATCCATCCAGCTTCAAACCACTCCATCCAGTTCAAGGTCACGGGGAACAGGAGCCCATCAATGCGAACAGCAGGCGCAAGGCGCAGTACACCCTGGACGGGACGCCAGTCCATCGCTAGGCACACGCACACACTCACACCAGGGCCAATTTTCCCAGAAGCCAAATAATCTACCACTATGTCTCTGGCCCGTGGAGGAAACTGAAACACTAGGTGGAAACCTACGCAGACACACAGGCAGAAACATACAAACACTATGCAAAACTACAATTATGGATAGTGAACCTAACAGGGCAAAAAGAGCACCTCCATATTAAAAGGTGGAACTCAAAACTGCACAAGTGGCACAAGCAAAGTCCAAGGTAACTAGCATTTCTAAACCTGGCCATCACCAACTGAGCAGGTTCCTAGTCCTTTTACCAGCTATGTCATCATTATTAAATCGCAGGCTGTTTCTCAGTCTTCACCCTCCCCTTCCAATAGCAGTTAGTACCTGGGGTCTCGCCATTCTCTCTGAGGCTGGGGAGGCAACCTAACAATGCAGGAGGGGCACCAACACAGCTCTGGGGGACTTGATGTAAAACGGATAAAAACGACCAATGGAACAAAGCCATTATGAAGTCATGCAGTCAAAAGGCACGCATTCAGACACGCTCATCCCATACAAACACCACAAAAAGCATGCAATGAAACACAAAAGCTTTAAGCCCTTCGTACACGTCTGCTGTTACAATACACACTGCGGCTCCTCAGTCTGTCGGGAATGTTACGAGGGTGTTATAAAAAGCAGACACACTTTCCAAATGTGGTGGAGTTAGCTGCAAAAATGTCCGATTTCCCTTGAAATAGACCAAAGGGCCTCCAAGGACCAGACTCCCTGAAAGCCAAAAAAAAAAACAAAAGACCCTAAGGGATATCTTTCCACAACACCTACAGCCATCCTGCCATTGCTCATGGAGCCCTAGTCCCACCTCTCTCTCCCCTCTTTACTCCCCAAACCAGGGGTACGACTTGACATCGCTCAGATCGCCCCCTGACAGCGCTGACCATGGGTTTGAAGGGGGTAGGCTACACCCTCGCATCCCCGTTGACGCAGCATCCATTAAACCAAAGCGGGCAGCCGGCACCTGTCCGCCCTGCTCTCCATGCAAACCCGGCCTCGGGGGAGGAGGGGGGTGGCTGTCAGCACCTCTGCTTCACGCCCCGCTGCCGCCCAGCCCCACGTCTACACCTCGAATCACGGGAATAAAAGTGATCTTACCTGTAGTTACAGCGAAAAGAATACATCCGGTTTACTGGGCGCAGCAGGCTGCTGCGATCCCTTTGTGCAACAGTGTCTCGCAATGCTGCCTTCACAGATCCGCCTGGCGCACACACCGGCTGGGCATATGTAAACACAACCCAGTGTTGCAGCCAATTCACCGCTTTGCCGGTATTAAGGGGGTCGGACCTGCGCGTCACAGGCAAGACACTAGGGAGCCGGTTAACTCACCCTGCTCCCCCACCCACCCCAAAAAAAAAAAAAATCAGATCAAGTCCAGCGTTAATATTATCGCTCCCGAGTTCAGCGGATCAATGCATTTTCACCTCGTTTGGTACCTAACACGGCACAGGCCCACGAAACAACGGCTGTCTTTGCCGCAAACCGTTTGCCGAGAGAGCGAGAGAGAGAGAGAGACAGGGGAGGGTGGGTAAAAAAACACCGACAAGAGCCAGGCCCCACGCAGACGGAATAAATGTAAAATCTTGAAAACTGCGCCCGGGGGTCGTTGTGCCTTTTTTTTTTTCCCACTCTCCCTCCTCCCCGAAACGCAGCTGCGCCGCACACCCGGGTTAACCTATCCCACCCGTTGTCTTCTACCAAAACGGAGAGTGGGTGGGTGAGGGGAAAAAACACAAGACTCACACACACACACACAACACAAAACTTGACGTTCCGGGGAGCGCAGACCGGACCTGTCAAGTTCACGAACAAAGCCCGGCGTTACTGGACTTACCGGCCCCAGCCCCAGCCCCCCTCGCCGGAGCACGAATGCCCCGGGACCCTGCTCTCCGGAGCAGGTATGTTTCTGGGGGCAGACGGGGGGTATGTATCTGGTTGCTATGTGGGTACCCTCACCGAACCCCCCCCTTCCGACCCCTCTCCCGGGCCCGGGGGGCCGGGGGCGACACGGCCGGGCGAAGGATACTGCGGCGGCGGCGGTGGCGGCGGCGCGGCGGGCGGCTGCGGGGCGGCCGGGGCTCCCGGTAACGCCACGGAGGTCGGGAGAGCCCGCAGTTGGCTCGGCGGAGACGGCCCGGTTCCGGGTCCACTTCCTGCGGCAGCGGCTGATTTCGGTACCGCTTTCGGCGGCAAACTCATCGCAAAAAAATTCAACAAAAGAAAAATAGATGTAGGCAATAATAAATATTGATACAGAGGTGTAAAAAATATATTGTACACATCTAAAAAAAAAAAGTACAGCGACAGATTTCCCCCCGGACCAGGCCCTTAATCCCTGTGCTGTACTGGGACAGTACAAAAAAAATGCCTTTTTAATGGAAAGAGTCGCTTTTATTGGGGTTTTATCTTCATGGGGACGGCGGGGGGGTTGCTTTCCCCCTCCCCGGCCGGGGCTTCCTCGATTCCGGTTCGGTTCTGCTTCCCAGAGGGATGTCGCCGGTTTTTCCTTCTTCAGTTACTTAATGTTTCTTGCTCAGTAATTGTTATTTTAAAAGTCCTTTTTCAGTGAGAAGGGAGATTTCGCTCAACATGGCGCTGCGGCCGCCTCCAGCAGTCCGGCAGGACGGACAGGTTCGGAAAACGTCGGTTGCTTCCGGAAATGCTCGGCTGCTCCCCCCCCAACGGGGGTGACGTCAACATTCGGGTATCTTCGACTCCCTTCGCCAGCGAGGTTTGGGGATTTTTAACTCCGGCTACTTACGGAAATTGTCGTTCTGGAAATCCCAATTGACAGGGTGTAAAAAGCGTGCTGTTTGTGCTCGAGAAGGTTATTTATGTACATGTATCATGCCCGTTTCACAAGTCTGATTAATAAATGCTAGAAGCCCTGTTGCCTCTGATAAGTGAAAATGATTTAAGCAGTGCTCAATAAATCAATAGCAGTTATACAACGTTGAAGAAACATTCACGATTTTACCATCCTAGAATTTGAGTGTATGGTTCAGGAACCAAAAGTATTAGCGTAAGTAGATACAAAACAACTGAAAAAGATTGATAATGCATTGAGTATGTACTCGGGAAATTATTCTTACTTTTTTTTAATCAAGGTGAATGAGGTGGCGGAATTTTCTTAAAATCCAACAGTCCTTTTGAGTGTGTAACCGTGTCCTAAATTGTCCTTTTTAAAACCAAAATAGTTAAGGATCTTAGTGACATCTAGCGTCTGTCCTGTGAAGTACCGCCCCTGCAAAGGCATTGCTTAATGTTTACTTGGATGTTCCAAATAAAGTATTACTTCCTTTTCTAAATACCTTGACTTTGTCCAATGTAAAACGCTTCATGTACATACGCGCTTTATATGCACGTATGGCGTATGATTTTTAGGATTTAAACTTTTTTTAGCAGAGAAGTGTATTTGATTTTTAAAAAATGTCCTAGTCTCATATGCCACAATCTTCCATCTATTTTAAACAGCTTTATCCAGTACAGGGTCACAAGGGAGCCAGAGTTTATCCCAGCAAGCAACGGGCACCAGGCAGGGTACCCTCATGGATGGGACACCAGTTCATCCCCAGACAGACACAAACCTGCACACACTTGCAAAAGGGTCCTTTTCCCCCTAGAACCAATTAACCTACCAGTACGTCTTTGGACTGTGAGAGGAAACCGGAGCACCTATTGTTAACATGGGAGAACATGCAAACTCCACATAGACAGGAATTTCTGGAACTAAATCCCAGCACTGCGGGAGTCTTAGTCTTTACCACAAACGAAGGTACTGGGTTACTTGCATAACGAACCATACAAATTAGATATAAGAAGACTAATATTGTGTGTTCAGGAACTGATTTGAGCTGAATATGTAATAAAACACCGCACTCTACAGAGGAAAAGGCATGGGTCACCAGAAGGTACTGTAACAGTGTGCTGTACAGAAAGCGAAAAGAACAAAAAAACACGTCAGAGAGTAATGGTTTGTAGGGCTACCTGATTGCAAGTAACTTACAGATCCAAGCAACTTATGGAGTAGTTCAAAGGCTTCTTTTTTTTTTTTAAATCAAGCCCCACAGTTTTGCAGTTGGTTCAATCACCTGCACTCCCAAGAACAATGCCTTTATTAATCCAGTTTTGCCACTGAATTTTTATGGGCGTTCCCTGCTCCTGTTTCAGTACGCCAAACAGATTCAGTGTTAAATCTGTATAGTACTTGCTTAATAATGACCCTCTCCCCTTCCAGTCATTTCACCATCAATATCGCCTATTACTCCCATCATCCCAAACGGCGCAACTGCTGTCAGACTTGAAATCAAGAACACAAATGTACTTCTTTAAAAAGGTCTTTAATTACACTTTCAAGTTGAAAGCTTAAGGCATCAGGCTTTTCTTACAATTGTAACTGTAAACAATATATAGAGAATTGTTTTGGTTTTACATCCTGTCATTCATGATGAACTCACAGTGGGGCACAGATTGTTACAGCCCAGTTCATCCCATTAGGATAAAAAACTGCTGTTTGTAAGAGCTACAGTTAAAATAGCCAGACTATAGTGTCATGCAGTGATTTAAAGAGGAGTTGTCGGAAGAGACTGGGAGAAAACATTTTTGTTATAATTCTAGACCAACAATTCTATATATATATATAACAGTGTTCAATGGAGGTTCATTCATTATACGAAATCTTAATGACAACTTTCAAAGAACAAAACCAACAACTAGACAACCATACATATTCACCAATGAAGACCTGTTTCTTGTACAATGCAAACCCCATTCAGTGATCAGAATATATTTACACAAATGTACAGAAACAACAAATAAAACAGAAATAATTTAAGAATATGGTCTGAGAACCCAGTCCACCCTTTTCTTTCACAAACCATACATTAATTTTGTGCACAAGAACAAATCAGCCCCTTTCACCGCTGTACGTTTGCGCAAGCAGGTGTGTGGACAGGGGAGGTCCTGCCCCAGGTCACTGAACAGAAATGGGTATCAGTTTCTCGGATGGCACTGGATTTCACACCCCAACACACAGGAGCAAGCAGCACAACTCATCCCCAAGCTTGGTCTCCTAGGGAATTTAAAACCGTTAGTGGATAAGGCCTGTTGAATTCATTTAAAACAATCAATTCAACAAATGATTCAATCAAGGCATTAACAGCAGAAAACCACTGAGCTCTCCAAGACCAGGACAAAGTACAACTGGCCTGGAGGCTTGAAGCTAGCAACTAGGCTGTGCAGCCCTGGTTCACAACAACCTGAAAAGCCCATGGAAAGTGTGCCCATGGAAACCGTTTTTACTATAGAGGCAGTGGTACTTGACCAATAAAACCCAGAAATAGTGGTTAATTATGTACATAAGTTCTTGATGTAATGGACGTCTGACTGTTATGTACTGACAGACCAATGGATTTTTGACAACACAAGTGAACCAACACAGTTAACCCTTTTCTGTTGCGCATTTAGTTTCTTGCATTCCATATAAAAATTACATTTAAGAGATAATTGTATTAATTCTATACAGTTCTTTTTTTCATTTATTCTGTGGTATAATCAAAGTGGTTATATTGGATTGAACAGCCTTTTCATGTGTAAAATCAATGAATAAGCTTTTTAAAGTCCATAAGATAGTACAATTTCAGCTAGTACTGTTCAAGCTCACTAATTAAACTCCATTTAACTACACCCCAAGAACAGTAGAGTGTAGTATCAACACTCTTCCGGCAGTTTTGCCTGGTACATTTGGTATGACACAGTTTAAACGCAGCACTGTTTGTAATATTTTTATCACTTCAGGTAATTATAATTCTTTTTATTTGCTTGTAGATCGAAATTAGAGGCCCTTATTGTGTCTTTAAAAAGGGTCACCCCAGTTACAAAAGCTTTGAGAACAATGCAACAGAAAAAAGTTTGTTGTAGCATTCCAGCACATACAAAATAGACTAAGTTTACTTTCTTAATAATATTCTCCTTGGTAAATGTGTGTCAGTCCTGAAAGGCTGCAGTCTGATGATTAACACATTAAGCGCTGGTAGGTTATATGTAACATTTTAATATCCGGACAGACAACACACATACAGCACTACAGTAGCTTAAATCATAGCAGCCTTCCTCACTGAACTGCAAATCAGTTCTTTTCTCTGGAAATTTCTTTTCCAGTCAGTATAAGCATCTTAGTATTGCTCAATAAACTACTAATAACAAGACACATCATGGGAGAAATAGTCTTCTCTCAACTTGCTATTTTGAACATTCCTTGCTCATTAACCTTCCATCACAGTTTTCTCATGAAACAGCTGATTATGAAGTTATTTATATATAGGTGTGTAAGACTGTTCTTCAAAATATGCAGTCATTGATGATGGAATAAACAAACTGAAAAGCAATTATGTTTAAGTATCCAAAAATTGAGCTACAATAACAGGAACTTACAACAACCATAACAATAAATAACGTGCTTAAAAATAATCATTTCTACACAAAACCTGAATCATGAAAAGTAGAAGTTCTCCCTCTTTTTTTTTCTTATTTTCCATTTTCCAGTGTTTTGCATCTTTTCCTCTTCCCCAAAAATATTTTAACAGAGTTTCATTTTGAAGTTAGTGAAACAGCATGCTCTTCCGAAGTTAGCGGAGGTCCAGTGGGATTGTCGGAAAGGATAGCATCTCAGTGGTTTATAAATGTTGACGGCCTCCTTCTGCAACGTTCCCCATTCCCGGAGTTCCCAGTCACTCTTGTCCTGGATAGGCACGGCACTGGAAATCACCAAAGCTCACATTTACGTTGGGGGTTCATGGGGGAGTTGTGCTTGCAGTTGAAGTGCTGGGAGAATTCCCTGGAGTTGGACACGGTACCGATGACTCGAAAGCGAGAGGGACTGTGTGGGTCTGTGATCACGCCTTCGCGAGAGCTCTCAGGTGTCCGCACTGAGCACCACACCTGCAGTCGGGGAGAGAGGATACACAAGATTCACTCCTTACGTGCAGAGACAACTGCAACAAGCTCACACAACATCTCACTGTTGTGAGTCGGCTCTTTGCTTTCCTAGAGGAGGAAAGCACTTACAAATTGAAATAACAGGATGCTGATAAGATGACATACTCAAACAACTGTGTAGTAGATTGTACACTGAGGCGTCACACAGACAAATTGGAGAACAATGATGGTACATGCCAGAAGGCACTATATCTATAGGAGTGCCAATGATTTTAAAGCCTACAAACACTGTCCCCCCCACTAAACCATCCCTGCCTGGACACCAGTGTTATTTGTGCCCACTGGTACAGTATGTACAGTCAGAGATCAAATGACCAATAATTTTAGATAGATGTTTGAACAGACCAGTGCTTTAAGCATGTCAATTATTTAGCAGGCTCTACAAAGGATGCTTTTTAAAGAAATTATTTAGTGAAAAAAGCCTTCTCTCAGCTCTGATTTTGGAAAACTGGATTTTGACAGGTGGTGTGGAAGATAAGCCTAATAGAATCTTTTTGGCAACGGATTTAGTATTAAAACTATATAGATCTTGCAGTAAATTGATAGATAGAGAAATCTCCCAGTCCATGACACCAAAAAAATACCTGTAAGATTAGGTCAGACCCTGGTCACAAAAAGCCCTGTAAATAATATGTAACTACAACTTTTTCCTTAAAAAGGAAAAGAGAACCAGCTTCACAGTCTTAATTGTGCCATGCACTTAAACTAACATTTAAGGGAAATTATTGAGAAATGACAGCAGCCAAAGACTGAGAGAAAGTAGAATTTTTTATTGAGGTGTGAAGACTTGGCTTAACCCACTTGGCTGAGGACCAACCTCCTGGCCATTGGACGGGGAGGAGGGATGCGAAAAACAAGTGAAGATGAGGAGAGGGTGACGCGTGGTATATATGGAGACATACAGTATATGGAGACTGGGTGCTTATATCATGATAAGCGCGAGTTGTGGCAGCCAAGTTTAATTCGTTCGGCTGCCTTCATCCCTCCTGAACTTTTGTCAAAAACTCCATGAAATCAAAGTGAAGTTGAGATTGAAGTGCCTTATAAATGACCACAGTTCCACAACATCCTCACTGCATTTTGTTGCGAAATAAAAGAGCAGCAAAAGAGACAAACCTGTGCAAACCCAATGAAAAACAGCTGCTGATTGGTCATTCCAAGAGTTGGCAGGACCTCCTCCTCACCATTCTTCCAGATCCAATTCTCATAGGCCTTCAGGAGCACAGCAGAGGACAGGCAGGATCAGGAGATTGGTATGTCCACATCGAAAAATATAAAAAAAAGACATCTCACTCAATTCAACTATAAAAATGTTCTCAAATCAAAGACTACATTTAAAAGTAAGTATCACAGACATGGTAGTCAGGTTTTCAGTCACAGATTATGGTTTCAGTAAAGACTATTCTCACACTGCTCTGTTCACCTGCTGGTTAACATCTTGACATTTCTCGCAGCTGAAAGAACATGTGAAACAAAGGGCAGGATGCCCTCGTTATCCATCATGTACGGTATTTTTTCGGCCCCTACCGAGACATATTTTAGCAGATGTCTGCGTAGTTGCTAAATTCACTCCAAACCAGAGAAAACACGAATTATTCTAATGTTCTTTCTGATTTACTACAAAGCAAACAGAAAGGAGGTCATTAGAGGTGAAGACTCAGCTTGGGAAGTCCGATACTCTAGTCTAGGCAAAATATGTTTTGTATTCATTCCAGGCTTATATTGGCTCTTATCCTTCACCTTGTAGGCAGCTTTCAGGCCCCCGTTGTCTGCGATGTTTTCTCCCAGAGTGTGTTTCCCATTCAGGGCCTCTTGGTTGATGCTGTAGTTGCCATACTGCTCCACCATGCACTGCGTCTGCTTCTTGAAGGCTTCCACTGAGGCCGACTTCCACCAAGACCGCAAGTTCCCTTCCTTATCAAACTCCCTCCCTGTTGCAAGCACAAACCATCACCACTACCACTACTTCAGCTTAGCAAGTCACTTAACATGCTTTAACTTGTAGAGAAAGAAAAAATCTTAGTAAACATACACATTTGAAAAAGAGGTTCTACTACTGTTGCAGTTTGTTTCGCTTTGACACCAAAATGGTTTTAATAAAAAGCAATGGCAATGAAAAGGGGTTGTACCTTGATCGTCAAAAGCATGGGTCAGCTCATGTCCCATCACAACACCGATACCGCCAAAATTTAGAGCCCTAGAAATAAAAATAATTCAAAACACAAGCCTGTATTGAAATAAACACTTGATATCATTTGTTAATCCTACTTTTCAAATATCTTTCTCTTAATTATGTGTGGTTCATCACATCACTCCTTATACTTTCACATGTAAAGATGTGCTTCAGCAAAGGGAAGCTGACAGATACTGTATAGAAGAAAAAGCAAAGATAGCTTAAAGTTAAACATGGGTAAATAAACAATTGGAAAAGTACTACAAACCGTTTTTATTTCTAATTGTTTTCTTTGCTTACATTTTTGGTTAGCAATAATTACCCTAAATAGCCACCTTCCTAACAAATTAAAACCAAAGTAATTCTAGCCAAACATACTCAGCAGCACAAACAGCAATTCCATGTGCAAGAATCAAAATAGTACAAACCATCCATGACGCTACTGCTGCCGCAAGATGTTTATACCTTGTTACAAACAGTTTTTCTAGGGAAACACTTACACAAGAACCAGTTGCATGATAACAGAGGAACAGATTTAGACCTCAATATTTAGGCCATTGAGCAGATGTTTAGAAACATCAAAGGAAGGAACAAGAATAGAAGGGATCTGAGGTGAACGGGATCTGGAATATCTTACTTTGGCCAAGTCCTGCTGTAGAAAGGGGCCTGGAGAATCCCTGCAGGGAAAACCATCTCATTCTTGGTTGGGGAATAGTAGGCATTCACAGTCGGAGGAGTCATACTCCACCTGCAAAGTCAAAGACCTTTTACTCACAAGTGCTTGTATTCCTAACTGTGGGCACTTCTCATTGACACTATTTATAATCACTACTCTATCACGAGTTCGACACTCGCTTAAAATAGATTAGAAATAAATATTTTGATATTTGTATGAATAAAACCATCCCTTTTATATAAAAAAACATATTATTTATAAAAACATGTTATTTAAGTATGTGGATACAGCCCCAGATTGTTCATTTATATACTTTGTGTCGAACTATCTTTGTGGGGACATTTTCTATACAGGACACATCTTACTCAATATATAGTATATACGGTGATTTATGTGTGTGTATATAAAGGACATTTTTTAAACTGTGCTGAATGATAAATAGTTTGATAACGAGTGTCACACACACACACACACACACACACCTCTTATCTTGCTCAAGCACTCTACCATTGCTTGAACATGTCAGTGAGGAGCCCAACACTTTTATCAGTGTTGTAGATGGAAAGTCTCTGACTGTACAAGCACACAGCAGAAACATTCCCTTCTGGATCATATCAGAAACAGGAAAGTCACGAGACAGACAACCTGGTATTATGTCAAGTCAAGCTGAGGTAGAATAACTACTGATGTTTTTATAATTAAGAGGAACAGCAATGCTGGCATTTTCAAAGACATGTCTGCATTTTATCATCAATGGTTTTCACTAAACACACCTAAACTTAAATGTGAAAAGTAGCCTGTTTTTCCTGTGAAATCTCGCACTGAAAGTTGCAATTGGAAATGTAAAGCTGACAGACAGCTTCCAGTGTTTATTTTATTGGTTTTATCACCGTCAAACAGGAGAATGAGCTCGTTGTTTAGACTGGAGCTCAGCGCCACAGGTCTTCCTGCCCTGTCTAGCAGAACTGATTAGTCCCAGGTCCCTGCTGAGTGCGCTCTTCAGCTGTTAGCTGGGGAGGGCCAAGGACAACCGAGTTTAAGTGTCTGTTTTGCAGAAATTGCACTGAGCAGAGCCACCTTGAAGGTTTTCATTAGACATATCACTTATTAAGTCCTGCTTATTGAACTGACTCTATACAGCAAGCCTGTGCTGTTATAATTAATGCAGTGTTAGTTCCAAAGCAGGGAAGTGAAGACCATTCCTTCATAGTATTTCTGCACTTTTACTGTTGTTTTACCTCAGCATTTCTACACACACTTATTATGTTAATTTGTTTGCAGTTCTCGTTTTACACACACCCACTTTGGAAATGGCAGCCGTTTATATCTAGTCTCAAACAGTGGCTCCCATACTGCATGGGGAAAATGAGGAAAGGCTCTTCCAGCCCACTCAAATAGCACCTGATGTCACCACAAGTCTACAGGTAACCTCCAAGTCACAGGTGTTGCCATTATGTTAATGGCACCTTGGCTGAGGTCACTCCTCTATGTTCCTGGTCAGAGTGCCTATTATTGTACCGTACCTTCAGTGTGCTTTCCTGCACTGAACTATGGGAGTGCCAAGATAAAATACACCATGTACTTTCTCATGATCCAGGGCTGGAAAGTGCAGACCAAATAGGTATGTTTAAACCATAGGAGACCACAGGAAAGAAAGTGTTTTAATAAAAACAACAGGAAGAGTAGAAAAACACCCCTGCAGTGACTGTGAAACGCAGAGTTTTTTTTGGCTTTCATTCTTTCGGTTGCCCTTTATCCGGACTACTCACTGCTCTCTGTTGGGGGCTTTTCTCAGCTGATCCGCTGTGACTCGGGAAGAGAAGTTGTAGTACTGCATGATGTTCTGGAAATACAGATCGGATACCACCTCGTACTGCAGGAGAGAGAAATATTGTCAAAAACAATCGCCAGCCCACTGAGATCAAATCACTTATCAGCAAAACCCCTGCTTGACAATTTAACCTTTACTTCACTGAACCAGTGTGCCTGCTAAATGTACCAAAAGCATTTCTATCAGGGTACAGAGTACTGGTACTGCACACCGTTGTGTGGATAACTAAGAATGGTCAGGTTAAAATAAGAGTTTCTCCTCATATCTTCCACTTATACTATAGATATAACAAAACAGGAAAAGGTGCCCAGTCACAAGTACAAAAATTCAATTGATAATCACTAAAAAGCAAAAGCTTTGCATAATGTGTTCCACATGCATAATGTGCTCCAACAATAAGCTTCTTGATAGTTGCTGATTAGTAAAAGTTTCTATGTAATCATAGTCAATATTTTTATCTTTTTACTTTTGTAGATATATACTCTAATTTGAAGAAAAACACCTACTTGATGTTTAAAATGAACCTTTCATATGCCCAAAAATAGTACTCAAAAAACATGACAACAGACTACTTATTTTTTCTGTATCTCAGTTTCAAACAACAGATTGAATACTTGCATCATTAAACACTTTGTCCAGCTCCTTGGGATCCATGATGAACTTGGGGTACCCTATCATGTTGTAAATTGCATCTGCCTAGAAGACAACATGGGAAGGAAAGGTAAGAGGGTGGAATTTAGCATTTCATAAAGCAACTGCACTTTGTTAACAGAAGGTGGCACTATAGAGCTATGAAGAAAACAACACCAAAGAATCAGCTTTTATATTTCCAGGATTTAAATATATTCCTGATATCTTAACATTAATTTAGACCTAAGCTCATTTACATTTACTCTTACTTAAATCCCTCCAGTTTTAACAGATCAATTAAGTTCTGAAATGGTAAATCTCAGCACGACGGGGCAGCGATTAGCCTGGCTACCTCACAGCACTGAGGCCCTGGGTTCAATTCCAGACCTGAGATGCCATCAGTGTGAAGTTTGTATGCCCAGTGGGGTTTACCATTTGTGCTGGGGATCCAGGGTTCATTTCAGCAGTGCTAGATCCCTGAGCTCTCAAATGGAGAGGGGCAGATAACTATGTCATGCAAATTCTGTTCAGGGTGAACTCTAAAATCCCCCATGAGGAATGTTCATGATGTGCAGCTTGTAAGGCAATTTCTCAGATACATTGCATACCTGTGCAGACCTTAGTGGACCACATTGACATTTTGATATACCTCAACTCTATAAACCACTGTTTGCAGTAAACTGGACAATAAGGGACTGAAATACTTGGGAGCAATTCTCTCGGGACAGAAAAAGCAGACTTGCCACACCTTTTCTTTTGCAGCTTTTTTGGTCTCTACGTCCATCCAGCCCACAGATCGTAAACTCTCTTCGAAAGCTCCCTTAATTTCCGAAATCATGTCTTCTGCCTGCAAAAGACAAGGGATGAAACAGTCACAGGCAGATGTAGGTACAGTGGAGTTGTATCTGCTGTAGTTCTGGATAAAAAAAACATAGCCTTTCATGTAACATAAGACTGTGTTTTTGTAAAAGGCCTGCATTTGAGATTTAAGAACAAAAAGCAGGTTGCCATACACAAGTTTAGTCGTGTATGTTTTCCTGCATGCATCTGTATGACGAATAACCCCCAAGGCAGGGAAATGTGTGGGGAAAGTGCCACGTGCTTCGGTCTTGCCAGCAGGTGGCACTGACCACGCTGGGGAAGAATGTCAGGACACTCACGATGGTTTTGCTGTCCTCTGAAAAGGTGGCCTTGACAAACATGGCTCCCAGCGCAAAGCCCAGGGCACTGTCAGTGTCGCTGACGCACAGCTTCCATCGCGGGGTGCAGCTCTGAAACACAGCCACACGGGCGCCCACAATAAGCAAGTACTGAAAGTTTCACGGGCTAGATCTCACTACTCTAAAAAAGAATAAGATGCAATATTTCCCTAGCACTAGAGAAAAATGAGAAGAGAAACCTGGCATGGTGTGTGCTCAACATCACTGTAACAGCCTAAATCAACACTCAGATCCCCTTTCAACTTAAAATTGAACTGTCTGTTGAATATCTGTCCCATCTGCTGGTGTGGAAAGCATGGTAGAGGCACCCACACGTAATTGTGAACTCAGAATATTACTGTCCTTTCAATCCTAGACGTCCTCATTACCTGTTGGATCTTTCCTAATTGCATATTTTCCAGCATTTTGTTTTTATAACAAAGACCAAAGTGACAGTACATGTTTCATACAGATTTTATCCTTCTGATCCTGGCTTTGAAATATACTTTTAGCAGTTTTTGCACAGAACTGATTTTTTCCATTTTGCATATTAAAAACAAATATCAAGCCTGTGAAGGTTTTTTCCATCCATTTTTATTTTGTGACCATGAATGTGAGCACAGCTCTCACCATGGTACTTTCTCTGGAATGCCAGAGTCCTTGATTTCAACAAGGTTATTCCCGCAAAGAATACAACTGCAAAAATAAAATGCAAAGTCTCTTGTGCATTTCGCAACTGTTAAATGTTAACAGTTAACAGCACCATACAAAAGTTTAAAATATGAGTTAAGCCGAAAACCAGCTTGTCTCTTTAAGAGGCCTATGCTACTGCTTCTATTTACCCCCTGAAAGCTACAGGACATCCTCCTGCTTCCTTTCAGTGGCTGGGCTGTTCGGAATAAAAAGAGACTCCCCCCCGAGAAAGTAGGTCACATGCCAAGAGCCACCACCAGCAGTCCCTGATTGGTGGACCCTAACATACTTTACAGATCAGCCAGAGGTACTGGGAAAGAGGTAAGAGGTGAAGGATCGTGTGATCAGCTGGACAGTGCGCAACAAACAGGATGACAGATGAGAGCCCAAGCAGTAAGTGGGAAAAATAGCAACACAATACTGCTTCCAAAGGTTAACCGTTCCAAATACATTGTGGTTCAGATTTATATTAAAAAGATCATAAAGGAAGGTGACAAATTACAGGAGCTTGCCTACCACCTCTATTTGTTACATCTTCACCTGTCTGTACACCCCGAGAACAAGTGCGATTAAGATTTCCCAATATACAAGTGGCAAGTAAACTGAGCTACGGAACTGCCAAATGTTTAATTCTCATATATGTCGACAATTCCTGAAACTACACCAAGAGAATGAGGGCAATTCTCCTCTGACACACCTATCTGACAGACACGTGCCTCTGCTCCAGTAAAGTGCGGTGGAGGAGTGATGAATCTCTCCCCAGCATCACTGGAACATTGTAGGTGCCCGTCAAGCCCCATCAATCACCATTAGCCTGAATAGAGAGTCCTGGCTGACAGGTACAGTACCCCAACCATACTGCCCACATTAAGCCTGTCTTCCCTCTCTCACCTTTTTGGTCCCATACATAGCTTCCAGGAAGCGATTCTCAGCATCCTGAAACCTCTGGTCCAGGTTAGAGGCCATCTTGCGTACCACGGTCATCATCATGTAGTTATTGAGCAGGCTAAGGATGACAGGGTCATATCAAAGCACGTCATCAACAATATTATCCACCTGTGGGCCATGATCAGACCACCCACATGCCAGTGCTTCCCTACTAAATTCTACAGTTAAAAAAAAAAGACACAACAAAATGGTTTAAGGGGTGCCTTTCACAGCAGTAAATCAAAAATCGCAAATCATTTCGGGCTAGTAGACTGTATAGTGTCATTCCTGGTTTACGCTAAACTTGAGGGAGGCTTAGGGTTGCTCCAGATTTGTACAAATGTGAATGCCTTATCAAAAGGTTATTAGAGGAATCAAATCCCGCTGATTGTCATCAGGTTCCTAATAAACAGGAGGGCTGGCCTGCTCTTATGCGAGGGACAGGCCGGTAAAGTCTCAAGACTAGTAAGGTGAAAGTCTTCACCCATGATGAGGATGGCCTGGGGATTGGACTAGTGTGGTGGGTTAAAAAGTAAAGCCTCACTGGGAGACAAAGTAGAAGGATTAGCTTCAGAGTTGACACATTAGTGGGTGACCGATTAGGTTCAACTCAGATTAGACACTCACAAGCCCCGTTTATCCTGACAAATGACTATTATGTTTTGAGAAATTACTTGATTTATGACATTAGTTTACATTTTTTTTTAAACATTTATTCCATTATTTCAATACCATTTTTTGCTTAATGGCTCCTTGTCACTAAAATTGCCAGACTAGTACACAGGGCCTCTCTACCTTACCTCTTGTTGGTGCTGTTGATGAGGCTGGAGACCTTCTGCAAGTACTCCTTGGCATAAACCACCACCGGCTCAGAGTCATTTAACTCCACAGGTGCGAAGACCGCAGAGAGAAAAGGCATCCAGTCCACTGCCGGGGCCAGCGTCTGCAACACACACAGCCCTCTAATCACTGAGTTGCCATCTCCCCCTTAACTGGATCAAGAATGGCTGAGAATCATGGGGTGTCCTCCGTCATTTCACCCAGAGAGCCACCATAGGCTGCCAAAAACTCTACACCTGAACACTCACTCAGCAGTAGATTTTGAAATATAGGCATTGTTTCAAAGCAGCTGTTGAAAATGAATATTCCTGCAGTCGCAACAGAATGTTGTCCTGGTCATTGTTCACACACTCCTACATCTGCTGTTTCACACAGCGAAAAAAAATCCAAGAACGTGAAGCGCAGGATTAGTTTCTAACACAAAACAGGGTGTTGAATTCCAGTGCACAACAGCGTGCACAGAATGTTGGCTACTCCGTATAGAACCTATTACCCCAACAAGTGGTGGCTATGCTTGTGGCCCACATTGGGAAAGCTAGTTTAATTGCAGTTCCTGACCTACAGAATGTATGGCAAACTGTAACAAGAACCTAATGCTCTCTTGTGACAAATTCATTTTTAATGGTCACAACCCTCTCCGCTTCCTCTTCAGTTCCTTCAGCGTGGGAATTCAGCTTCTAAAGCGAAGTCAATACAAGAGATGCTTTCTGGCTGCCAAAAGCAGGTGGGCAGAAAAAACGGGTGCCTTTCAACACACCTCATTTAACAAGCCCATTACCATGCCTTTACTTCATCTACAGCAGGGTCTCATAGCAACCACGCCAACACAACACTGGGCAATGGACAGTAAAAATAACCAGAGACAGGTGGGCACTTGAGCTGTTGAAAAACATGCCCAGCTGGGACAGGGTAAACACCAATTTCTGTACCTATTAACATCACCCATTAATGGAGAGAAATGTGTATTTTGTCTTGGATTATAGATTTGCTCTGGGAAGATCCAATTATCCCTTCAGAGCTGATGATGAACATTAGTAACGTTAGCACTTAACTTCTTCCCGAGTAAAGATGAATGGGTTATTTTAAAGCCAGAGAAAGATGAGCATAAAATGTGTTTTTTATAACAAAGATGTGGTGCCTTTATGCTGCTTGAAATCATTAGCCCACAAGTCCAGTTGGTTTCATAGTAAGTTAGCAATTGTTTCTATTACTGTATTTGATGCTGTATAACCAACGGTCTCACTACCAACAGGCTGCATTATCTTATAAAATTTCTCCCAACATTTATTGAAATAATGCCAGCATACTCATCTTCCAGTCTTCCATTACAGCATCTGGTTCCTACCAACTGTAATTTAATTGATAATTAGCAGGAAGAATATAACAATTAAGGTCCTGGTCAAGACAACTGTGCAATGGGCTGGCTGGGAAGGGATAAAATCTGCACAGCTCTGAAGTAATGCTTAATATGCTAAGTTGCCTGAACTAAATAAAGTGTCACTGGGCCAAAAACCACAACAGAAATCAAAACATCCACCATTTAGAGGCTAAACTGCCCGGTTAATTTACAATTCCATCTAAAAAGCCTAGTCTTGTTTCACTAGGAATAACACCACCCAAGAATTCAGCACACTGAAAGGTGTATTGAGTGTTTTAGTCACAATAAATACTGGCTTGACCCACTTGACAAACCTCCAGGCCAGTGGACGAGAAGGGGAGTGGGACCCCCCCCCGCAGAGTGAGGGGTGACCAAGGGGCAGCTGCAGAGGGGAGATGGGGTGGAGGAGGGATGCAAAATGATGTATGCGAGGGAGGAAAGGGGATTACGTACAGTATTTATAATGCTTTAGAGAAAGTGAAGCAATGACGTCAGAATGGTTTACAAATTACTGACAGCTGAGGCTGATTGAATTTGGCTGTTTTCATCCCTCCCGCACTTTCGTTATGAACACCATTAAATAAGCATTAGAGATTTTATGACTGTGTTCATTTGGGATGCATCACTGTGTTTCTGCCAGGGACACTTGCCACACCAGCTGCAATTCAGCAGGAAGTTTTCGCTATTTTGTAACGTTCCATTTCCTGCTCTAAAGAACCAGGCACGCATAAGGTACATCAAGCCTGAACAAAAAAAAAAAAACTGTATGATTCCCCTAGAGGAAAACTGGAAGCAAATAAAAAGACTGAAAAGAAATATGGGGGACTATAAAACCCTTTCTTCTCCTTGTAAAGGGGAAAAAAATGTAGAATAATAAGCAGTTCATCTGAAGAGTTATTTAATAGCTTGCCTCCATCTGTTACATGTCCAAATACACTTAGCTGTTCTAGTTATCCCATTAAAGGAGGTACAGCTTACAGAAGTACTATAAACTTTTCCAAAAAATCTCTAAATATGATTAACAGTGCACGAGCTACTGTAAGAGATTTAAGTTTTCACTGTATGCCGCAGTGTTTTTTCCACCTGCTGAACTTTCAGATGATTTATACACCTTAACAAATGAGTGTCTCACACTATTAACAAAGGCATGCAGTACAGGCCAGACTACAGCACGGACTCCAGACTCACAGGGATTTGGTTTCTATAGCGCAAAAGCCAAGAGGACTTGATGAAGACAAGAGGACAAATTGAACTGAAAACTTTACAAGTATGCATATACAGTACTGTATAATTTAACACACAACAGCTAAGGGTGTATAGCACATCTTTACAACAGCAAGGAATGAAGAGAAGGAACACAAAAAACACTCATTTGTTATAGAAACACATTTTTGACACTTTGTCCATGCAAGGTCAAGTTCACTTCAAAAGAAAACTTCCACAAAACTTCAACAGTTTGCAAGAAGAGAGAGGGTTACAATTCAGCACACATGTAGAAGACAAAGACCATGTAATTCAAACTGCATGTTTCATAAAATCTGATAATACCATCCTAAAACAACCAAACAATAGACTGTCTATTAGTTCCATTCCTAAATCCATTAAACATCATCTCTATAAAAATACGACAAAAGATAAATATCTTAAAGGAATCTGTGTGTAGAAAGCTGTCTAACTAACAAAAGCTTACTGGAAAGGTATCATGGCATACTATATAAATAAAGGGAATAGAACAGTAATATGAAAACATTTGATACCAGCTCAGTTCTTTTACAGGATTTATGCTTGAGTGATTAAAGTCATGGTTACACAAAACATCTTAGACAGCTAGCACATTTTTTTTACCAGATGTATTCTTTTACAACTGCTTTATCCACTATCAAGCAATTTTAACTTTGACCCAAGAAGACCTGATCGCCTAAGCCTACTGCCCAGGAAGCCTACAGTATTTGACTGACCTGAAGCTCTTTGACCGACATCTTGTGATAAATAAGCTCCTCGTCTCTGCGCTCCTCCTGTGGGACGGTGATTTGGGCAAGGGTGGTTTCGAAATCCAACACTTCCTGCATCTGCACCCTAGTTGAGTCTTCAGAGCCTCCCAGGAGCACTCCCAGCTCCACCAAATAGTTCAGATAGGCTGTTAACACCTGGGGATCCAGAGAGCACGTTAAATGACAACAGAAAACCAAGCCCTGTGCAGATCACTTGAGATTAACCTGCCTGGAGTATCTCTAAGGAGTATCTCTAAGATTGTAAGGCTTTATTAGAAAGCTGCTCAAAATCAGATTTTTAAAAGAAATTCTCAAAGCAAAAATCCACCTGGCACTCAACCTCTATGCAGAGAAAACTTGCTACAAGAAAGTCTGAGCATTTAGCAACCTTCTGAACATAAATGCAGTGACAAACTCTGGTTCTAATGGATAGGGTAAAACTCCAATTCCACCCAGACTGTCAAGAGTCTGTACCCCACATCAGATGGATGGTGACAGACAAACAAGTTGGAGGATCACAATGAAATGACAATGACAATACAGAGGAAACACTGGGAAATATTAACATGAACATCAACGCCAGACCTTGCAAGAGGTTCTGAGTTAAAACCACAGAGTTTGTCTTCATTTACCCCATTGCAACAAAGGGAAAAAGGCACACTGGATTAGTGACTCAATCTACCCCACATACTGTAGATCAAAGTACTAATTAAGTTTGATGCAATCAAGAAGGCATTTACTTTTTTATAGTATTTCAGGAATTCTCTAATTGGATCTGAAGCCATTTCAGGTTGTAAAAGAAAACCGTAAAAAATAATTCTTTTTTTTTCTAATTCTATACCTGGTGGTGGATATTTCCTTCTTGCCATCTTTTCAGGATTAAAACTACACAGCCAGACAGAGCAGGTAGGTTAATTATCTTCGGGGCAAATCAGCCTCAGTGCGAGTGTGTGTTTGTGTCTGTGTGTGCCCTATGATAGATCGGCATCCCACCAAGGGTGTATCTAGCCGTGCACCCATTGCTCGGAGGGATAGGGTCCGGCCTCACTGGGACTCTGTACTGAATGGGGCAATTAGAAAACGGATGGATAGATGGATTGTACTTGTCATTAGTACAACAGAGAAATCAAAAGGGAGAGGGCATTTAGACATCAATTTCTCCCTCCTAAAAATCATTCAGAAATGAATCAGCCACATCACCCTGCAAGCAGGTGTGAGCCTGGTCAGTACCTGGATGGGAGACCTGCTGGGAAAAACTAAGGTTGCTGCTGGAAGAGGTGTCAGTGAGGCCAGAAAGGGGAGCTCACCCTGCGGTCCATGTGGGTCCTAATGCCCCAGTATAGTGAAGGGGACACTAAACTATAAAAAAAAGGGTGCCATCCTTAGGATGAGACATAAAACCGAGGTCGATGTGGTCATTAAAAATCCAAGGGCTTTTTTTGAAAAGAGTAGGGGTGTAACCCCGGTGTCCTGGCCAAATTTCCCATTGGCCCTTACCAATCATGGCCCCCTAATAATCCCCATCTGTAAACTGGCTTCATTACTCTGTGCTTCTCCCTACTAATAGCTGATATGTGGTGAGAGTACCGGCACACTATGGCTGCCGTCGCATCATCAAGGTGGGGCTGCACACTGTTGGTGGTGGAGGGGAGTCCCCATTACCTGTAAAGCGCTTTGAGTGGAGTGTCCAGAAAAGCGCTATATAAGTGTAAACAATAATATTATAATTGATGAAAGAAACTACTAATCTGTGTACTTTGCATGATGAAAACATGACAAACTAAGCTGCACTACAACTGGAAGCATGTGGAAGGGTTTGGGATGCAGTGGGTGATTCCCACAGTGTAAGTAAGGCAACTGTACTACATTAGGAGGCATAAGCCTTCAGGAGAATACCATTGCTCACCTTATGGTTGGCCGTTTTGTTGACATAGTAGGTTCTAGAGGGTAAGCCCAGCCCCGACTGGTCTACCTATCAAAAGAAAATATCTTGTTATTTATATCTCATCCAGCCTTTTCTTAAAATAAGCCAGGGTTATCGGCTTAAACAGTGTGGCTGGGTAGCTTGTTGCACACTCTCATAACCCTCCACATAAAGATGTATAAATTATTTAAAACCAAGAAGAGGATGCACAGTTTTCCACTGGTTCATGTATAACTTTTTAATTGTATATCTTTCAGGGTTTTTTTATCCGCTTCTCCAAATTTGGACTCGCTGTACATTAGCATACACTTGCCAATATGCAGTATGAAAAAGCAAGATCCTGGCAGTGTTAATCTAAGACACAAAGTAGTTCAAAAATGAGAGTGGAAGAGGCCTACTGAATGACAGCAAAGCAGTCGGCTCCTTTTCAAGAACTGGTTCCTTTGCCAAGGGGGACTATCACGTCACCGAGCCTTGCTGAGCTAGGATGCCAAATGCAGGGGGACACTATCCATTACCTTGGCCTGCCCTTCTTCATGTAGAAACACTAATCTATGCCATTTTCAGACTCACTGCAGATGTTGCATTTTGCTAACTTCTTGAGGGATTTCTTAGGCTTGAGATTTAACTCCTAGACCCAGCATTTCACGAGAGATCCCTTTCTCTCTCCGGGATGGGTCACACTCAGACGTCCTCAACATCCTCGATCTCATCTGTCATATGAATATACAATCCTTGGCTGAAGAAACACCTTTTGAGAACTTCCTGAAGTCTCCTTGATTGACATGTGTTCTTTCAAGGGTTTGTGTTGGCCTTTTTACACCTTCTGTCAGGTCCAAGTGCTGATGACGTTAGAGGCACAGGTGTCTTTTACAGGCTCAACTTCTTTATATTTCCTGACCTGCAGTCTTTTCTCTTTTTTGGGTCAGTATCAGATCGACTCAGATTCTTGCTTAAAAGTGGCATGGATTAAACTATGTTAAGTGGGCTCCGAGACAAGAGATAGGCAGGCCAGGAAGATGTATCAGTATCCTATTGGAGCCCTTTGGAATCTGATCTCAGTAAAGGTCGGTGATGCGGCACTTCCGCATGACTGCATTCCTTTCCCGGGCACCAGGGTTGTGAAGACAATACCGTATTTCCTGACATGCCACAGAACCAGATCAACAACCAGCCTACTCATCATCGACAGATGCAGATAGTTGTAAGTCCCGTTTCCAAAAGACGGTAATCATGTCAGTGTGAAGAGAAGGCTCCCGATCATTAAGACATGCATCCTGGCCTGAAGCTGTGAAGCCCACCTGGATAATATTGCTGTTGGAGTTCTTGGAGTCGGTGCTGACGTACACGGAGAAGAAGGGAGAGGTGCGGTAGCGGGCGGACACCGTCTCCAAGACCTCTTGGAAGTGGTCTTTGTCCCAGTTATCCGTCACAGCCCAACCTCCAGTCTGAAACAAACGCGCACCTGTTGTTAACCATCCCTGGACAAATGTTACAGTTTTATTTCGTTGGGTTAAGAAATTTATTTTCTGGACAAAGAGTGAAAGAGAAATCACGTAACATTCTGCTGTCAGATGCAGTCACAGTTAGAGTAATTTGACTCTACAAAAGATCAAACAAGCAGGTTTCATGCACAGTACTGGTCCTGGTATGCTGAGTATGTATATATAAAAAAAATATTTCCAATCTCCGTACAGACATTTGATTCTTCTCGTATCTTCAACTGCTTCAGGCATCCAGTTACTTCAATATAATCGAGGCTATTTTTTCCTTTCTCGACATCTGTATTAAGTGACTTACAAATACATTCAATCTGCACGTGTTCAGAAGAGGGGTACATTATTCCAGTAAACACATTAAGCAGACAAGGTTTTTCCACTACATCTGTGGCCAAAATGCTTGTTTGGTCTCTAATTACCAAGGCTAAATTCTCTTTGCTGCTGGACATAAGCACTGGGAGCAATGATTACAAGAGATACTATAAACAAGATGAAAAGAACAAGGCAGAAATACCAGGAAAACATAAAAAATAAGCCCAAGTAAACAATCTGTTGGCACTATTAAATAAGAGAAACTCAACAATTAAAAAGGTTGCATCTGGAACACAGAAAATGGGTTTTCTTTGTGTATATACCCCCTGAAGATGGAAAACGTGGTAAGAATAGCACCACAGAAGTTTGAACACGGGCTGAAGGAGCTGTTTGGGCTCCTGTGTGTGCAATACCCACCTGATTAATGAGCTCCTGTAGGGGCTGGGCTCCAAGCTTTTCAATCTTCTCTTCATTCATGCAGGCCTGATAGTATCTCTGGGCCTTGCGCTCTGCCTCGCTCAGCCCAGTCATCGTGGTGTTCTCTGTCAAAACCAGAGTGCGTCAGGCAGGGTTAAAGGGCCTCTTCCACTCGAAAGTTAAGTACAGAGAATGTCAGTCTGGTAGCTCTCGGTTCCACACTAGTTTTCCATGGCACTTGGTTGGCATCTCTGAATCACTTCCCCTCTTCCCTGAACTCACTTGACCACCCAGCTGTATGACGGAGAATCGGAGGAATGGCCAACTTCCTAGCATTCTCCTTCCTTCGCTGGTTCAAGATAACTATTAGAAACCAACAAACAAGAGGGCATCACACCAACGCTAGGAAATGAGAGGCCATTTGGCTCGTACCCAGCAGCCGCTTCATGATGGCCTGGTTGTGCTCCCACAGGTTGTTGAAAGTGCCCCAGCGAGAGTGACCATCGGGCAGGGGGTTGGCTTTAATCCAGCCACCACAGGCAAAGGAGTAGAAATCCTGGCAGGGATCGACGGAGCGGTCCAACGCCCCCAGCACAGAACTGGCCACTGTCACACAGGACTCCGAAAGGCACACCCGAGGATGGGCTGAGAAGATGCAAGACAAAATGGTGACAAATGCATACCCATACAAGGAGTACCACACGATTCTGTGATGCAGATCATTTACAGACCATATTCAGGGTCATTTAAAGCTCTGAAAAACTGCAGTTATACTTCAGCAGGGAACTCTTTCAAAGTAGGAAGCATTTTCCAAAAAAAATAATAATTTCCAATACTGAAAAACAATTAGCCTGAGGTGTACATGAAAGCTACAAATACAAAACAATACAGTGTCCACAGGATGCTCTTCAGATATACATTACCCGCCATATTATACAGAATATAGGGGCATTTTAGTTTAATGTTTAAAAGTAATTAAGTCAGTCATGACCCCAGCCTTCCAAGCAAATTAATAAAAGAAACAGTAACACACCCCATTTGAAAGCTTAATCAGAGCACCTTTCATCTTCCGAGAACATTTTGGTAGTGGAGAACTTTACCAGGCAATAATTTAAAAGATAAACATATACTACACACTTACGGAATCACAAAACATAAAAACTCCAAATACTGTTGTGAGAATTCTGAATGTAAATCCTTACCTCGAGCATTAATGCACTCAGAACTGAAACAGCATTGCTTTCATATAGTACGAAATACTCAATAGGTAAGTCTCTGAACTCATGCTCCAAAGAGATTCCATCCATTTTCTAACCTCTTAATTCAATACAGAGGTCATGGTAGAGTCAGAGCCTATCCCAGCAAACAACATTCACAAGGCAAGATGCACCCTGGTGCCAGTCCATCACAGGGCACAAATAGACACAAAAAGACACACTCACTCTACGGCTCACACACTCCCTACTAGTCTTTAAACTGTGGGAGGATAACATACAAACAAACTCCAGTCACATAGCACCCCTAGAATGGAACCCAGAGAATCTTGGATCTCCAACACAAATGCACCCAAATAAACACAAGTAGAAACCTCCGCTTAGCTTATGTCCAAATGCAAATTCCTCCTTTCGTCTAGTGACCCTATACACACACTGGAGTCTTATAGTGGGGGAGAAGTATTAAAAGACATTCAAAGACTTCCCAATTCATAACAGTACATAGAGTAAAATCCTAAAAAATTGAAGATGAGAGGTGGATGCTTTCAAATTAAGTTTTAATTCTCTCTTTTACACATTTGAGTAGAACAGCATTAAGTTCTAAAAACACCTTTGGACTTGGTCTTTGGAAGTGTTTTGCTGCTCATAATTGTTTCTGGCTGTTTCATGACGGAAATAAAAGGGCAGCCTTTGGAAGGAGGGAGCTCTTCCTTTGTGGAATCAGAAAAAAAAATGGAATAACACGATTGTCCCTTCCAAACAATGCTCCACAGGATCCTCATGAGTGCCAATGTCAATACCTCCTGAGCTAGGAAAGCAGAAGGGTGTGGTGGGGCTGAACACACACAGAGAAGCTGTCTGAACTGGGATAGCACACCACAGCATCAGTCATCACTGGTCTGGGTTTTTCTGAGCTGTTCAGCAGTATAAACCAGCCCAGAAAACATAAATGTTGGGTTTTCTATCTAGAAAGACAAAAAGCAGTGAGAAGATGTGGAAAACCCCTGAATATTTTTAAAGATTTAAATGCCCTCAGGTATGTTTTTCTGTTCTTTTTCTATATTTTGTGTACTTGTGCACAACCTAATTTGAAAAACATTAAATAGGTGTTACTTCTAAGAAAACATGCATTGTGGATGAGTACAAGGTATTGGATACAGAAAGGAAGAAAATGGATTTCAAACATAAAACAGGTAGTAGTACTGAACAAAAATAATGTGAAAGAAATGCTGATCAGTTTCTTCAACTAGACATTTGTAACTGTTCTTATTTTCGAATGTACAACACGATCACTTCACAAAACAGAACTGAACAGTTTTGTTTTACTGACTGTGTTCTTATTGTGTTCAGCTCTTCTTGATGAGAACAGTTAGAAGTTATTATACATGTAGTAGAAGAAAAACAAGTTATATGGTACCATTAATTAATGAATAAGGTCCTAAAATAAACTTCATGCTACAATCAAACCACCAATAAAGAACTTAAGTCCCCGAAGCAGCTTTAGACAAGGGTAAAGAATCTAAAGTGTACATAAACTTGCTACTTTGTTTTTATTGTTGCTTGTAACACATGATGCAACCAACAAAACTCAAGATTTTTTGCACAAGAACAATTCTACTCTAGGAGTGCGAGTTTAAGTTAGCACATTTGTACCTTACCCACACAATTACTGGCTTTGTCTCACAAGAAAGGAAGACTAAAAGTTTATAAAAACACATCTGGGCTATTTTTGATGACTGAAGATCTGCATGTCTTCTCTTAAGACAATACACAAGGCCATGAGTTCCTTTTAAAAATACTAAGAATTCAACTAGGGTAAAAATGTGGAAAAAAACAGTGGGGTATATCTTTTTAGGTAGGATAACTGACCTTCATTAATGCATCTATCTAAATACTGTATTTCACAATTTATTCCCCTGACTTTTTAAGTAGTTTTGCAGGCAAGGACATCTATGGGCTGCAGAAAAGAGGTTGAAGACTTTTATATATGCAATGTGACAGAAAGAGCTATAAAATAAAACACCACTAAACACCTCCCACCCACATTCCAAGTCATGACATCACTAAGTGCACCCTCCCCCCCCCCAGGGAAGTCCTGTGCTATAGGCACCTCCTCCCACCCCCAACCCACAGGATTTAGTTTAGTGAAATGACCCCCATTACAGACTAGACAAGAGACAGAAGAATAATTTCCCAGTAATCTGACACTGTAATGTCAGCAACTGGATCTGTTACATTTACATTCCGATTTAATACATCCTGGGATTTGCCTATTTTTGAGTTTGATAGATTACATTTACACGTTCTAAGAAAAGGGTGCATTTAACCATACAATGCAGTTATAAGACAGATAAGAGAACTTAGGGGATTTGGAAAACAATGATTAAGATCAACACTAACACGCCTTCTCTTTCACTTCAATCACTACCTACTTAACAGTGACCAGAGCAGATGGACCTTGCCAAGTATTGACTGGGTATAACGCCAGGCACAGAATGAACTGGCAAGATCATTTCAGTGTTTTTCCACAAGAATAAAAAGAAAATGTCTCTTATACAACTGAGCTGTTTTTTATTTTCTATTAATCTTCTGCCAACACACAGATAATGGATCAGTCCCCTAGTTATCTAGCCACAAATATTTTGATCATTTTTGTTAACTGTTTCTCCGGAGTATTATAAGGGATTAACAAAGCTTCTTTTAAGATTTCAATTTGTACCGTATAATTTCTGAATATTTTACACAGGTATTGAAAAAAATAATTTAAAAACTTCTCAACTGACTTGTACCATGGGAGAGAAACGTTATGTTCCATAAATGGTTAAAAATACTACAATAATGTAGGCAACTAAATTTGAATTACCTCAAGCCAGTTATACACACCTACATCCATACATGATATAGTCTTATGTAAAAATAACCAATTTCTGGTTTTGATTTTATTGTCCTTTACGAAGGCGTGGGAAACAGAATTGCTAACATTTACCATTTACTTAATCTACGCCAGAGGAAAGTTCCACAGAGACCATATCACGTCATTCTCTTCATTGAGTCTTCTCATTGGTTTAAGGGCTTGAAAGCAGTTCAGTTTCCGAAGATAACGCGAGCATGATCATACAGTGTGTAGTGTGAGAAGTACTTATGAGTACTGCATTGCCAATAATAAAAAGTTACTGAAAAATAGTGCCTTTATTAATTTACAATGGCAAGTGTGAGGATTTATTACAGACGGGGTCTATTGATAGCCAGTGTGACTCAGCTGGTTTAGGTATGGCAATAACACAGCTTAGGTCAGGAGTTCAATCCCTGCCCAGTCTCAATAACAAACAAGGAAGACTCATTAACCGCCTGCAACTTCTGGAATCTGTCAATCCAAATGGCCAGTATTTATTACTGGACTGAACATCTGCAGACTGTCTCCAAGATCACAGAAAGAACTGAAGCTCAAGTGCTGCACGCAGAGAAAAAACTAGTCTGTCTTTTTACAGTAAAAGAAAGCAAAGCAAAAAATAAATTGAAGAAAAAAAAGAAAATGCTGCTTCTCAATCTTAAATTATTAGAAGACTATTTTTTCTCCTCCAACTGTCCATCTATTTGCTCCATTTCTGATCCTTACAGGAATGGGATTACAGTCAAGAGGACAGTCGTATACATTGAATATCACAGTCAAGGCATTGAAATAGGGGGCTCAGCTCTACATCTAAGAACATGGCCCGGTTGTACAGAGCTGCTAACGACATCTGAAAAGAAGACATGGGCTTAGGGGAACTTACCTACACTGAAGTGCAACACCAGGGTGAACAGGCACAAAAGCAGGGTGCCAGACAGCAGTCCCACCAAGACCAGCAGTTTCTTCTCCATGCTCGTCCTCAATGCCCAGCATCTTAGGCCACGGTGGGGTCTGCTCATATTCACCTGGACAGATACATACGCAGTCACTGCCTTCTGCATTTCAGCACTGCTTAGCAACACATGCCAGTCTAACACGCTGAAAATGCAGACACTGCACTTGCTAATCCTAATGCAATGTCATTTTGCAGGCATAAACATGCTAATGTACACAACCGTGCACATGTGGGTGCATTTGCTTAAACATAAGGGTACAGTATGTACAGTGGCTGGATTGACTCATTTGAAGGGTTTCCAACTGTTAAACATTTTTTTATAATACTGCTGAGCCAGAGACTGAACAACACACAACACAAAAGCACTTCGTGTGCATTTGTTTTTCATTTTGTAAATTCCTTTAGCTAAAGGATTTCAGTCTATCACATCAGAGAGACCATGTTGAACTTAAGCAAACAGCCAAGCCATAAGGCATTATTCTTCCTTTATCCCATATTTATCTCATTTACAGGAAGAGAATAACAGAATGCTGGAAAATAATTTCACCGCCCAATTTTGATATTACTGAATGAAAGAATTTACAAGCAAAGACCGGAAGTACTATCTACAGAAAAAGAGAAACTTCATGCTTTGGTCTGGTCCACCTACAGAAGAGCCTACATAAACAAGGCTTAATGGAATGATGTGTACTATTGCTTGGATATAAATGTCCTGTCTGTAAACAGCTGACCAGATCACACAAAATATTAATGGAAATAGTTCAGTGGAAATATTAGAAGAGATAAGAAGTGATTTCAAGAGAGCAAATTTTGCCTAGTGTTCCTTCAATGCCTTGTTGTTTCGAAAGGGAATAGGTAATAGTGCACTTTTCACCCTGCTTTTTTTTAAGAAAAAAAAGATTTATTACTGTTCCAATTCCTTAAACAAATGGGAAGGCTAAATGAAGAAAAACAAGACCAACCTTTTTTTAAGGAACCTTCACTGTAATGACGCAAGGGAAATAAACAGGATTATAATTTATGAGTACACATCCACAGAACAACCAGTAAATCACAGTGCGACATCGCAGTTCCAATTGTTCAATATTTAGCTGCCCAGAATTCCAGATACTCTGAGAAAAGATCCTCAACTTGCACTGCATGTAGCAAAAATAACAGGCACTGCACTCAGACAGAAGCAAGCACCCAAACAAATAAAAAAAGGAAGACAAGGTTTTTTTTTCCCTGAATGTCTCATTTAGAATAATACAGCTATCCAATCAGAACACAGTGACAAAGAGATGAAGACAGCATTAATAATTTAATACTCACAACCTACAGTACTTAAAGCACCTGATTAATCTTGAATACATGAAAGAAAGCAGAACATCAGTTATTCTAAGGATCTGCGCCAGTGGCTGGAAGGTTGCTGGTTTGTATCCCCCGGCCGGCAGAGGGATCCTACACCGTTGGGCCCCTGAGCAAGGCCCTTAACCCCAGCTGCTCCAGGGGTGCTGTATAAATGGCTGACCCTGCACTCTGACCCCAAGCTTCTCTCCCTGCCTGTGCGTCTCATGGAGAACAAGTTGGGGTATGCGAAAAGACAAATTCCTAATACAGGAAGTTGTACATGGCCAATAAAGTGATCTCATCTATCTGATCTTAACTAATTTGGAAACTCCAGTAACTAATCAATATTTTGTTACTGCAACTCGTGTGGCAAGCATGAACACGGACTGCACATGCAATGGGAGAATGGTTTCCCTCAAAACCGTCACTGTCGAAGCCCCAGCGTGCCTACAGGAACTGTTATCAATCGGAGAAGACGAGCAGGTCTTACTGACAACACTACAAGCTAGTACAAATCCAGCAACTCACACAGGCTGAGGATGTCCTGGCTCAGAACAGCAATGTCCTGACTTTAGACCTTATTTTGTTGTCTGTAAAAATACGGCATGATCAAGTCAGTGGGTTCCGGCACAGTGTTGTCTAACTGGTATTGACACTCCTTACAGGCCACAGCTCCAGTTCCCACTCACATTCAGCACTGCGCCACAATATGATTGCCAGCTGGGTGGTAGACAGGGCAATTACACTTTAGCAGGGGGCTCAGTCTGGGGGCTGCAAGACACTAATGTAACGCCAAACCTCTTGATGTCTAATTAATTCAACTCACTGGGCAAACTACAGTATCAAGTGCAGAGCTCATGAAAAGAAGAAACTAATTTACCTTTTAAAGAGGAAAGAGATGGTTGCCCGGGTTCAAGACTTTACAATGGAACACATTTCTGACACATCATGAAAAGGCAAGAGGAGCTCACCACATTAATCAGAAAGCCCAACAGTTATGGAGTCATTGCCCAATAACTAAGCAACGCCTTCTGCTCTTCATCCTAAACTGGGGTGATGGAGCCATTTTTATTTTCTCTGCCACGTTGAGTTAGACCACTGAGAGCTATGATTTCAGCCAGAGCTTTGGTGGCTTAAAGAGCAGATTTGATTTGAAGTTCCGCTGCGGCCACATAAAAAAAAACCACAGTGATGGAGGGGAAGAACGGCCAGACCGATTTGTGGAAGAGAGCCCCAAGTCATTACATTTCTATTTGGAGCACCAAAACGCCAAACAGCTTCAGAGAAAAAACTTAAAATCCTGAAAAATCTGGTTCACCCAGCATTAGAAGCAAAATATAAATAATAGGTTTTATCTAATAATTATATAATCACTATATATGAATGGGAACTGCAGAGTTATACAGACCATTATAGTTTATTTCTGAAAAGAAACAACCCTGTTTCAATATAATGCTTAAAAAATCATTACAACTACATAATTAATCCACAAATACAATAACTCATAAACATAAAGTCTTTCAGACTTCTTCTTATTAGATGAGAATTAAGCACTTGCGTGGCCAAAAAGCAGCTACAATTGTAATATCTGTTTGTTCCAGGATTTTCCTGTTCTGGCCCTTTAGCTGACCGCACAGTGACCCTGCTCCTGACCGGCACCATGGATGACTCCTGTTACAGGGTGTTCTGCTTCACGTTCTCATTCTTAATACATTAGGTTGCCACTGAAGTAAACCACTTCAAACAAATCTGTACCACATGTAAAAAAGGAACAGCTTTACATTTGGCCTAGAATCTCTCTCAAAACCCTACTTATTATTTTTTCTCATTACTATCATGGAAATTTCTTGGAACACAGTTCTATAAGTAATCCCAATTCTACTCCTTGCCTCTTTTTAAACCCATGAGTGCTGAAACTTCACCGGAGTGGGTTTTACAAGTCTTTTCAGGCTACCGCAGAGATGTACAGGGTGGTTGCAACTGTGACATCAGGCCAGCCAGCATCCTGAAACAATGGCTGTCAGTGTAATTTCACTTCTGTTTCTAGACACCTGTTATTTCAAATGTGGACCACATTGTTAAGTGCTCCAGGGGCAAAACCCAGGAATTAATTTAACTAATTTGACTACGAACAGCATGTTTGATCAGAACAGTCAGGCATTGTACAATACGGCTGATGCATTTATAAAATGTATAACCGAAATTAGCTCTATAAAAGGTTTGGGCTTTAAAATTCCTCATCAACCTACAGTATAATCACTGTTTTACAGTGTTTAAAGGTCATCATTTATATATTTTATGGTAATGGAATCTCCATCGCAGACATTGTGACTGATTTAAATGTTTTTTACATATAGAAAAGAAACCTAACTACTTAAATATGAATTATGTTAAATCACATTTATGTTTAATAACATTGCATATTCTTCTTTCTCTTCCTGAAGAGGTTAAGCAAAGTTTTATAAAAGGAAACCATATACGTATGTGCAAAGAACACAAGATGTGTTCTTCACATAGCCTGATAATTATGACTTGAGCTGTTACAGCTTTAACTCATAGCAATGTTCAACCTGTATACAGAGAAATTTAGGATGGTTGTCAAAATTGACAGTGTCTCTACTGAACTGTAACTACTGCACAAAGTTGAAATACCAGTAAAATATTATTGCCGACTGTTCTTGAAGAAAATAAGTTCAAATAATAAAAGCTAACAGGGGTTCCATTGATCTATAAAGTTCTTACTATACATACAATCGAATACTCATTTAAGCCTTCTTGATAAAAAAGTTTCTACATCAGTGCTGGTCTTGGATGTTTAGGTCCTAGCAGTTCAGGATTTAAATATAAAAGTTGTTATGCATGTTATGCAAAACTGTCAGCATGTTTCAAACAAAAACTATCAGGCAATGACATGCTCATCTGATAAGTGTCACTGTCAGTATTTATTTTTCTGTTTAAAAGGCCTTCAGTCACAGCACTGCATTTCCTATAGACAGCTAAATCCAGTGAGGTTGAATGAGTGGCTGATACCAGAATGTCCTTTCTTTACAGGCTGACAGAAAGCAACTACAAATCACAGATACAATGGTTAGCACAAATGAGATAGACAGAGCAGTGGCAGGAGAGCCAAAACGGGCCCATCTGCCAAGGTTCTATAACCCACCAATACAGGGCTATTGGAGATGTTCAGAAATGATTTTGGAAATGTCAGTTTTGGATAACCCCTTACCTGCAGGCCATTGGGGTAAACCTCATCCACTGTAGAGTCCACCAAGTCATCTTCTTCAAACGTGGTCCGTCTGTATGACGACATCTGTGAAGTCAAGTGCAGAAAAGATTCCCTTAGAGTCTCCATGCTGGAGCAGCCCAACTGTTTTTGTTTTGTGGGAATACTATCTTTACAATCTCCACCCTTTCAGGAAATATTATGAATTGCTTCCTGCTTTATATCCATCGGGAAACTTCTCCCATGTAGAATTCTCTGCAGATCCAAAGCAAGAGAGCTTATAAAATATGTCCAACTCTTGCTTCCTATTGCCTTTAATACTTTTTTTCATGATAACCGTCCAGCCCGTAGATCTGATCGCGTAAGCAACACTCTTTCAGGCAATCTGCAGTAATTCATCTTGACACACGCCTGCAAGATTATAAAACACTCCCTTTTTGCAGGGAAACTGTTCAGAATCGCAGGTTTCTCAAGATCCCGGTTGTCAAGAGTGTGGCTCTCTTTCTCTCACCAAAGGGTTCCACTCCCACACATACCTCTCACAGGACCAAGCCCACTGCTAAACACAGAAGGCATGTAACAAAAACAGGAAGAAGAAGTTACTTGAACAACTTAAGTGTATGTGCATTCCACAATGCGGCTTTCCAAATAACTGGGAGGAAACCTTGGGAACTTAAGCTCCACCTACAACATCTCTCCCCCTCTGACATTCCAGTTCAAGAGGCAGGGATCTCCTACAAAGCCACTCCCCAACCAACTCCTGGTTGTCTTGGGTACCGTCATCTGAGATGCCCAAGACAGGGCCCCCTGCTATGATCCCTCCCACATATGAGGCATTCGCCTTTGCTTCCGGGAGTCTTTTGTGAATTTCACACCTCTTCCACACCTCTGTAAGCAGCTGTGTTCACTGGCAATATACTCATTTCTGAAAACAAGCTGAAATCAAAGCATTGCCTTATTAGAATTAGAAATGCCAAAACACACTCCTAAGCTTTCCAATTTTTAATACTACAGACATTGCAAGAATTTAATTTCTCAGTGCTGTTAGCTACAATACTCCCAACAATGCCTGAAAAGTACTGTATACCTTACACAGAAACGTACAAGAAAAGATCTGAATTACACCTCAATAAATGTGTAATCTACCATACGCAGGAAAATCCAGTTTTGAAACAAGACTGTACACTTGTTTATTTTTAAATTGTCTGTTTTGCATATAACTACTATCCTCTACAGAACTTTTTGATCAATTTTTTGGGAAACTACAAACTTTTTCAGACATTTTTAAATATTGTCCTTTCACACACAAGGTAGCAGTTTTTGTGTTGCTAAAAGTATTTGTAATACAGATCTCCTAACCTAAAAGTTGACTCTTTGCAGCTGTATCAAGATCTTCTATTTTTATTTCCAACAATTTTGTAATTAATAGATAAACCTCTTCATTCTGTTATTTTCAAATTATACAACATCCTTTTAAAGGTACCTCAAAGTCATTTTTCAGCTGAAAGTACCGAAAGACTGCTTGTTATGAAGCAAGGTGTTTTTTTCCTTAGAATCACAACTGCCAAGTGCTTGGCTTCACATACCTGTGTTCTCAAGCAGTTTCCAGGTGATGCTGATCAAACTTTCCCCTGCTCACATACACAGCACTGAAAAGTCTAGCTCAAGGTTACCTTACTAGTTAACTGTTTAATACAGCCCAGCTGCTTAAAGGCCCTGTGAGCAGTACCACATCTGTGGAACTCTCAACCCAATACCATTAAGGAGGAGTCCAGTGAGTGGTATCCTTTTTAAAAACCCACTTGTAAGTCCTATTTTTAGCTTCCACTGTACTTAATTTCACCCTTGGCTTTTCAAACCAATTCACTGTGCTTTTTCATTTCTCTTTTTTTTTTTACTTCTGTGTGCGTGTATTCAAATTACACTACAGTATAATGTTTTGGATTAAGTGAAAATCATTTATTAATAAAATTGTATTATTTTTACTCGTACGAATCTTACAGCCTATTTAACTTGCAATTAAGTCCTGCAGTTTCACAATTCACAGTATCTGAGAAATGATATTTTAGGGTTGTAGTTTTATTTACACTGGCAATTAAAGACCCAGAAAGAGAATGCACTGTATGTAGCATACATGTTTGATTAACCCTATAAAATGCCTTGGATAAATACATCGGCTAAATATCTTCGATTATTACTGTTGTTAAAAAATGTTTTATCCAGTATTGAGTCATGGAGGAGCTGCGACCTACTGCGGCAAGCAACGGGCACAAGGCAGGATACACCCTGGACAGGAGTTCAAAGTGTGCAGATACAACACACACACACTCTCGCCAGGGCCAATTAATCTACCAGTATGTCACTGGACTATGACAGGAAACTAGAGTTGCCGGAGGATACCTACGTGAACACATGCACAAGGGAGAACATACAAAGTCCAGGCCGATTGAATAGCACCCCAAGTGGGCTACAAGGCTGCAATGGCAACTGCTGTGCTGCCCCTTAACTTAGAATCTAGATAAGACTCAATGAATTCACTGGTGTTTAAAAGGTGGTTAGCCAATTGCAAACTAGCACAGAAATATTGTTAATAAGATAAAGCAAAAACGTTTAAAAGAAGAATGGACTGTTTCATTGCTCCAATAGTCAATAAACTGTCCTAAAAGAAAGTCAAGGTAAATGAACTCCACAGGCTATGTAGACCATAATTCAAACAATGTTTGTTCATTATTAACTATTTTGTAGAACAATGCCAAAGCAAGAAAAGGCCTGGACCTGAGAACCGTGACAGGAGGACTGAATTAATTATTTGCAATTCAAAAGATCCCTAAAGCGAAAACAGCTGCCTCATCAAACAGTCAATATTCAGGCTCACACACACAAACCATTTGCCTAGAATAGAAAAGTATGTACGGCATCCAGTTAAAATGAGCCGCCCAATTCTCTTTTCCTTAAAAGTTAAATAATTTTTCAACCTCGCTTAATGACGCATCCACTTGGGTTTTAGTCTTGAATGGGATACAAAAAGTAAGTGGTCAAGTTACACCGAGCTGAGCAGTAAATGGTTCTTGTGCAAATTATATCAGCTCTTTCCTATCACTTTTGCATTTTCTGTGCACAGAACAAGGGTTATCATCAACATTTGCCCTGCAGAAACACCTCTGTACTTAATTCTTTCTAAACAAACGTTTTCTAAAACATGCAGCCAAGCTCCTCATCTGAAACACTTAAAATTAAATCAGAAAAATCAAAATATTTCCCTTAAACCTGAGGATTCCAATAATAGACATATAGCCTCAGCTATCCCATTTATAATGAGTGTCTACTGTATATTCTCAGAACAAAAGGTGGTGTTTGGATTCCAGGCAATTGCTTTTTAGAGTTTAAAACAAGTGCCCAAATGCCAACCTGCTTTGGGGTTTTCCCCAAACTTCCTTAACCTAAATAAAGAACTTACTGAGGTGGTTGAGTGGGGTTCAAGCATGATCAATACCCTCTTCCCTCAGGTTTCAGGTCTGTGGAGCTACAGCCCTCCCACAGGCTCTTACTAATTCTCCAGCTCCTTACAGTCTCCCACGAGCTGTCACAGCTCAGAGCTGCACAGAACAATACAACAAGCAGCAGCAGCTATTAAGTGGACAACCAAACCTACGGATCTCTGGGCCTGACAAAAGCAACTTTAAAAAGACACCATAAGCACAGCCAGACTCTTAGACTGCAGCTGTCAGGGAAACAGCAGCTTAAGGTCCTTCGTTTTTAAGAGTATGAAAAACTGTCAGTCTAATCTATCTTTCCTAATTAAAATATGGCTTGATAGCTAACTAAGCAAGCCTTAATATACCTGCAGTTCATCGCCTTGAGACCTCTACAGTTGTAACAAAACTGTTTGCTGTACAAGTTGCTAAACATCTTCATCCAATTAGGAGGTCCACTGTCTGACATCACAACCCATGTGGCGTTACTCAGAAGGAACGTCTGTGGCACACCAAGGTCAGTAAATCCCAGGAGAATCTTTTTCCCAAACATTTTTGAGTTTACCACAGACATGCTCAGATCAGCAACATACAGAACTGCCATCATATGACCAGATCCACCCTGGTTTCGGACAAGGGACTTCATCTGGAAAAAAGTGAATTTTCTAAACAAATTACTGAAATGCATTTCCAACAATGCAATATTGGGAATTGCACTTGAATCTCCCAGAAAACCTGGGTTAATTACTTGTGCTTCAGTAAATGTGAGGAACCATGTGCTGTTCTTGCAAAGAAAAATATATTCCCAAAGCCAGCATTAGTGCAAGTGCCAAGTGTTTTTTCTTAAGGTAAGATTACATTACCAGTCATGAGTTATTGACATTTCAGGCATCATTTAGTTGGCTTAAACTCGCATACTGCTGGCTTAGCATGTTGCGAAATGTACAAGTTGTACAGTTAGGTACAAACTAGTACACCACATGGCTTTCTGTGGTTTTACTGCAGTAATCTTCTCAATATGAAAACACCACAGGCACACTGAAGGAAACTTTTAACATGGTAACCAGAGAGCAGGAAATTCCTTTTAAATTTGTAATAATCAAATACTATGTTAAACCCACCTAATTTGGGATTTCCAAATGTTTATAAACTTGGTACAGCATGTAAAGACAAAGACCTATACACACACTATACACATTCTTCCCATTCTGAAACAGCAAATGTGCTTCACTTGACATTATCAATTGACAAGCACTGAGGGGCATCACACTTTAACAGAAAGTCAGCTCTGATTCATCTCTCATTCATGTCAGTGAAAGGTTTCAGGTGCGTAAGAGCTCCAGGTGCCACTGAGGTCAGTGTATCCAGCTGAAACCTTCCTTTCCCTGGCAGCCCTCAGCAAACATTACACTACCATAGTGTTGTATGGGTGTCATGGTCGCTGCTGCAGACCTGCAGACGAGTGGTGGGGTGAACTAGTATTTACACGGTAGCCAGCCACCTGCCATTCATTGCCATACCATGGCAACTAATTCAGCAGAAGTCTTGCACAACCTGGAGTCAATCATCCACCATGCCCGCCCCAGGTGGTTCAAACTATATAAACCGTGATCTGGCAGTGCTCAGGAACTTGCCCGTGAATAGGCCAAGCATAGTGCCGCCTGCTCTTGGATTTATGTTCCAAAAACATGTCGCTACAGTATGTTATCATGTCCAGCAGCATCACATTACAAGGTGTAATTCTGTTCAAACTCAGCCCATGGTATTGCCCAGGGTCTCCACTCCAGCTGAGCAACATCAGTGGGTGAGACACTCGAAAGCCCACAAACATTTCTTCAGATTTCAACAAATATAGACATCACCAGAGGCAACTATTGGGTTCCCAAGTGGCTCAACTGGTAAAGGTCTTTACTCGGAATGTAGATTAAGCTCCAAGACCCAGATGTCATAAATTAAAGTCCGGATCGTGTCACCAGAAGAATGCGAGTACGATCCTGGAGGTGGCAGAGTACTAAACTGGCAGGCTATGCAGCAGTCAACCAGGTGACTTC